TAAATATGAGGTGACTCAATTTCTAAATATATCTAAGACATGCTGAATACTTTTCGTATGTAGGTCAGGTTTGGCGCAGAGTTCGGATCACAATTTTAAGACTTTTCGGATTTAATTTTTTTTGTAGGTGGCAGCACTGTTTTTAAATGCATAGATTTGAAATAAATATCGCCAACTTTTTCCTGAAAGATTTCTTAAACTGGTTATGTTTGGCAGATATTTTAAAATTTTACAGCTTCATTTTTTTGTATAGGTGGCAACTCTAAATTAAAAAATATATATTTAACTGCAGATTTCCTCAACACTTTTCGTATGCACTTTTAAATTTGGCGCAGTTTTACTTTTTTCGATCGGTGGCAACAGTATTTCAAACAAAATGTATATTCCGAAAAATTATCAAAACGACTTTTTAAACTGCTCAAATTCGGCAAAACTGTTGCTAGTTTACAGTTTTATTTGTTTTTATAGGTGGCAACTCTATTTTAAAAAATCTATGTATGTATATCTAAATTGAGGAAATTTTAAATTTTAATTATTATATTTAGAAATAATAGTTAATAAAAATCTTAGATAAAAATCCAACTGATTTTGGCTTAATAAACATAATTTAATCACGCAATTGAACTTAAAACTTCATTATTCGCTACGTACGAGTTTTAAGTGAAATTCTCTTCTCATCTAATAATTTAAATGACACTTAATATTTGACCACAGCATTCTGTAACATTTTGCTTTGAAAAAATGCAATGAAATCCATATACATACTTGTAATATTAATCATGAGAAAATTATCATCCAAACAAAATTTGCAATTAAAGCACAATCTGTGGCAATTATGGCAAAAATACGGCGTAAGGATGTGCATAACGAAGCGCAATTAAACGGAATGTTACGTGAATTTGTATGTGTGTAGGAAAAAGCGGCGAAAAACAGCGAAAATTGTTTGTGCTTTTTTATGTGCATGCCATATAAGTACAGAAAAAGTTCTAAATACACACATACGCATGAGCAACAACCGATATTTGCACAATTGATTGAAATGCTTCGCACAAAAACAAACGCTTTGGCATCGTGCCGCGCTGCGCTGTGGAGTGCTGGGCATAACAACGACGCCAACACAGCGCAGCAACCTGGCAGCCATTTTGCATCAATTTCACCATAATTAACGTTTCTGTTGCGTTGTCAATGCGTACATTAAATTCATTAAATGCCACAATTATTGTAATTAATTTATAATTGTGAATTAATGATGACGATAAAATACACAGCAACTATGTCCACACACACACACATACACACACAAATGAATTTCCTCTTGCATATGTACATATGTATGTATTTGTGTTACATTTGCACAATGCTTTAAACACAGGTGGAAACGCATTGTGACGCCAATCAATACGCACATATTGGTTCTGATTGTCTTAATTAACGGTATCATCGGTCCTGTACGAAGGTATGTATATATAAGAAATTGTTCGCTACCCAACTCACTACCCAGTTAGAAGTTTACAAGTACAAGTTTATAGCAAATATGGAGGCTAATGCTCTGCAATTGATTGTTTTCTTGTTCAGTAAACGTTGTTGTTGTTGTTGAAGCGAAGGGTGTGTCTCTTTTAGCAACATTTTGTAGGTGCCGTTGGAATAAGTTATCCAGTAGAAATTTCGGGAAATATGTTCCCGTGACGGCTTCACTCTAAGAAATGATAGTTGAGAGAAAGATTGTTTTTGGAGAGCTTGTAAATGGATGGTAAATGTCTTGCAGAGTTACCCGAACAATTCAAAACTCGGGTAAGATAATAATGTTCTAACAAACTTAGGCTCTGACAATATACACAGAAAACAAAACAAAAACCCTACATTATTTTTGCCAACATATGATACAACAAATGAACTATAATTATAAGTTAAATATAAAACAAGAAAAAACTCGGCGACTTCGGTATAATAAGATCTTTTGATCGATCGGTTTGTATGGCAACCATATACTATAGTGGTCTGAACTGAACAACACGGAGATTGCACAGTTGCCGTTGACAATAATCCATGCTAAATTTGGTGAAGATTTTTTTCGTAAAGTTTTCCAAAGACTTTATTTCGATCGTTCAGTTTCTATGACAACTATATCTTATAGTCGTCCGATATCGACAGTTCCTCAAAAACTGAAGGATTAGTTCGCATATATACAGAAAGAGAGACGAACATGGCTACATCGACTTAGCTCATCACTCTGATGAATTATATATATACATATGTGCATACCTATGTATATACTTTTATAGGGTTTCCGACGTTTCTTTCTGGGTGCTACAAACTTTGTGGCAAATTTAATTAACACTGTTCAAGGTATAACTATACTTTTATTCAGTGCTTTAGACCTATCTTTGACTCTAAAGAGCTAATAATTTTCCACATTCTCCAATTTTAAAAGCCATTACTACAAAGAAAATTATTACAAATGCATTGGCAGTCACAATTAGTTAAAGAGGACTCCGGGATTCCCTAGTTCTGCTCGAACTAGAATTCCAAGAAACGTGTCCATGATTCCTGAACCACAAAGTCTCAGTTATCATAGTGTTTTCAGTCTTATAGAAGCCTCCAGCGAAACATTTTATAAGAACGAGCCTTATAGTTATTTAAAGCTGCACTGAGATGCCTCTTATTGTTCTCTCGCTCGTTTTCCTCGTTTTTAACAAAAGAAATCTTAGGTCTTACATATAAATGTCACAGTTACTTATATGTGGGGGCCTACATTACCACATATCTTTAACGAAATAAAATTTAAATTTTAAACTTAAAAATCAAGCAAAGAAAAGTTAGTTTGGTGTTCCGATTGGTTAAATGGTTAAAACAACTTATTTACATTTTGGATGAGGTTCCCAAATGGTGCTCAGTATGGAACTAAAATTGCTATCTATGAACTTCGCAGCAACAATGAGTAAGGTTTGAAATTCATTTTCAAGTATGAAATAAAAATAAAATTATCGTAAGAGTAAGAATTTGTAGGGTTATATGCCCGGGACGAAATTTAAATTTCATTATTAAAGAAAAGACTGGTTCAAATATTTTCTAACAACACTTAAGATATGCCACAAATTCAACTTCGGGCAGTTGGGGTTCAACTAATGAGGAATATAGTGTCAAAGGCTTTGCCGGTATTTATGTTAGAAAGAAACCTACATATTTATAGTCTCAGTCCAATCGATATACTTAAAATTTTTCTTATTACAACGTTTTAACAATTGTTAAACTTTCTACTGATGGAATACAAATGTTTCTACACTTGTGTTGAAATTGAAGGATCCGTATATACATAGTTCATAAAATTTTACAGTTGCTATCAAAGGAATCCATTAAAAAATAAAATTTACACCATTTAGTAAATGAGAGGAAAAAGACTTTTGTACTGTAATCATTGTATCGCAGAACCTTCTTTTGGCGGTTACTTTTTTGCTCACACAACAGGTGCGGTGAGCTTTTTCACAGAGGGATCGAAGTTAGAGGGAGAGTAGGAGGTGGACTCTTCTGTCGGGAACTTTCCAGACAGTTCCATCAACTTTAGTTTCAGGCTACCAGACCACTGCGTTCACTGCGCTGGCTGACCAACTATGCTGGCTATGAGCTCGCTGAGTGTCCGCCCAAAACTAGTCAAGGAGTGCATGACATCATTAGCAATAGCTTTAAGCTCTTCCCTATTAGACTTGTATGCTCAACGCAGTTGCCGACGATTTCGCTGTGATCGGGCACCCTTACCCCAATTTCATCCGAATGAAAGCGAATATGTTTTAAAATGTCCTCTTGCGTTCTAACGTTGAGCCTATGGACTTCTAGTGAGCTCGGCAGACGCTGTTGTGCTTAGCAAAGTTAATTTCGCCACAATTTTAATTGTAGCGGTGCGGTTGAATGGTTTTTCGGACGCAAATCTGTATGGAGAAATGTGAGATCGTCATCTTGTCACTTTCTCCTCTATTGCCCGGTCTTTGCCAGACCAAACAAAGATTGAAATTTCTCAGTAGATACACCTTTGGCGAACCTAGCGAAATGGCTGGGATAATTTTAACCGCCTTAAAAATTTGTGGTAAGCTCAAAATCTTCCGTCGATCGATATGAAGATCCGGTTTATGTGTAATATAAAGAACGAACGTCTATCCCAGTGAGATTTTTCGATTTTGGATCAACCGTACGACCTAACCTAACCTACATACGGTAAATATTAGGTTTCGCTTATTTACGCGATTTCGAAATTACGAGGCAAATATTTCAGTTTTGGAGACTAACTTCTAAAAACGGATGAGTTACTTTCTTACTTTGGACTCAATACATCGAAATAATTTATTTGGACCAATAGCTAGCCAAGTGTACTTGATCTAGATTTCTTTAGTCTCTAATAAATCTAAAAGCTGTACAGCCCTATTACTCAATTTGATTCCAATATAAGTATGTACATATATATGTATATGTAATGTCAGAATACAGAAGAGGTATCATAAGTTCCCACACACCCGCCTATACGATTATAAAACTCTATGTATGTATGTGGAAAAAATAATAATAATAGCCCAGTTAAGGCTAAATTTCCTTGTTAATTTGAGAAAATTACTTGTAAACTGAATGAGGAAAATGCGGTATAGCAATGTGACTAAACGAGAAAATCGAAAGCAGTGCAATGGCATGACACAGTGCGACAAGGACGCCAAATAAAGGACGACTATATGTTGAGACAGTCGAAGCGTAGGCGCGCGTCGAAAGCGATGAATGGGTGTGTTCAATTCGAAAAGAGCGCACACAGCAAGTGGGGTGGTTTTAGCTTTTTTGTTGTAATTGCTTATGTTGCTACTTACAACCGTTAGTGGACCAAGGTAGCTATGTAGAGTTTGAGTCGTGCCTTGAAGGCAGCAAATTTGCATGATAATTTACTCGTAAAAGCACATAAGCGAATAAATCAGGACGTGGGATAGGAAGGGTTGTTTCTCCTATACATACGCCTCTTATTGTTGCAAGGTTGCTTGCTGCTGGTGGTGCGATAGCTGCTGTTGCTTCAACGGCATCACCGCAATGCAGTCAATGTCGTAGATTAGAGTGATTTACGGTTGTTGAGCGGTGATTGAACGGACAAAACGCGCTCAACTGTCGACGAATGCGGAACGCGCGATTATTATCCGGCCGAAAAAGGATTTCTGAAGTTTAACTGTTTTCCTGCATCAAACGCGCGTTTTCAAATATTAAAAAAAGATTAATTAAGCAGTACTAATTATTAAAAATTAATTATAAAAATTAAACCAAAAAGATTATGTCCATACAAGTTAGTGAACGCGTGACAGCCTCGCCGCCGCATTCGCTTGTAGCCGCCGCAAATAGTGCAGGTACCGTTAGTCATAGCAGCGTCGGCGGCAGTGGCAATAAACAGCAATGCAGTACAATTGTTACCGCAAAGACACCGTTCTCTATCGAACATATTTTGTGTCACAATTTAAACAACAACAACAATAATAATAATGGTAATAACCACAACAACAATAGCAAAGTGAAAACTGCAATTGGAAAGTGTGCCAAAAATAATTGTGATAGTGAGAAATTGCGACAGCAACAACCGTCGCAACAACAACAACAACACCATCAGAAACATTCACCCATACATGCATTGGATGACAACGAAGAATATACACGAATTCTGGCGCAACAACGGTAAATCTTCAATAAAAGCAACATTAGAATATCAAAATTTGCCGTCGGATTTTTTTCAATCTGCTTGGGTTCAGTTTTCAAAGATTTACACACTTGTGTTGAAATTGAGAATCAAAACTGTTACTTTTCCGAAATTTAAATATCTCAAATTAGTAATCTCCATGAAGTGTTTTCTTAAGTTTTCGAAGAATGCGCCAGGTGCATTATCGATATCTTCAAATGGCTCAAATTACCAACTGAGGGAACTTTTCTTCGGGTTCGAAATTAAAGCAGAAGTTTGTCAGGAGAATGAGCTGGAGAACTCGACTTTGAGCTCAAACCTTTGCTAACTTATTTCTCGCTTGAATTCACTTTTGAAACGATTTTTACGGAATTCGAATCAAAATGTAAGGTTTTAGTCAAAGAAGTTGATCTTTGTATCTCTTTGAGATATGATTTCGTTAATAAGTATATCATATTTGGGTTTATTTGCTAGATGTAACCCTAGAAAAAAAAAACATTTTATTGACTGCTTCCCGCCTTGGCTATTTTGCTTTGATTACTATATTTTGTATCCATCTTTAAAAGATGACTCAACGTATCATTAAGAATCGAAGTAAAACAACGTTGAATGGAGTTCTTAAGGGAGCCTCGGTGCTCTTCAACAATCTTCAATCATCCCCGAGCACCGGTTTCTCTCTACGGCCCAAAGTCGGCCTGATCGGATCGATGATGGCCAGTGCCACTACAGAGAAAGACCCCGTTCCCACGACAGCCGGGTCTACGTAATCGGAACGGACCCGGATTTTATCCGGTCAAGGACCGTCAACTCGGCAGAATTCTGCCACTACAACAACAACAACAACAGAGAAAGACCCTTAATTAGCATATGCGTAAAGTATTAGGTTCTCTTCTATATTATGTAATTGTCCGATTCTCTAGTGGTCTACGAAAAATATGAAACTTTCGACTTTAAATTTGGTAAATCGATATATGTAGTTGAGCAAAAACCACACAAACCTATAGTTATTGAAATAGTTCATAATCTAGAATATGGATTGCCGGTGGCTGTGGCTGTGGTAAGGCTCATTCACAATGAAGGAAGGCGGTGTTCATTAGGCAACTAGCCGAGTTGGGAAAATATGAGGATACAGAGTCAGAGTTAGATGTCTCCCTCTCCGTTTCAAAGGAAAATATATTAAGGTAAAAGAGTATAGAAGGAGTTTATATTTTATAGCCTGGCGCAACAAGCAGTTTCGAAATTAGACTTTACTAGCGCCGGGAAAATAGTATCCAAAAAAATCTAGCAATAGCTTCGAAACAGCTAACCAAAACTGTTAGAACAGGTCGATGCGAAACTGAACAAATCAAATGTAAGAGATTTGATTATACATCAAATCGATCCCGAGAGAAATTTTTTCAGTAGATATCAACGAAAAAGTTACACAAATATTACTAATATCTATAAATATGGATAAAAACTGAAGTCAAACTGTCGAACCTATGCGTCGTACGACGATAAGACTGAGTAACTCGTTAATTATAAGTAGCCAGCCAATGTCCAGAATGACACAAAGGTCCAGTAGTAATAATTACCCAGTGTCCAGTCCCGGAGAAAATTTTGATAGATAATTTAATCATAATCGAAAACTGAAGATCGAAAAAACGAAGCAGAAGTACATTTTTTTTGAAGAGTTCTGACTAACCAATTGATATTGAAATATTTGTTTTGCCTTGCCTGGCCAAAGAACTGTCTACAACCACTATTTTAGTAAATAAAATGAAAACTCAAACTGCCACAACAGTAGCTAAAGTTTTGGTTCTTTCACTCCCTCATTCCAGCTTCAAACCGAGCGAACGTGCAAATTTGTCCGGCGCTTTGATCGCACCCTCTTCAATATCATCCGCTTCGTCCGCCTCACTGTCATCGCCAACCATACTAACTAATGCAACACATGGAAACCAAGGCAACATCAACAACACAACAGCCCCGATGCCAACACATCAAATTAGTCCACCGACAAGCAACTATTTACCGCAAGCAGCACAACAAGTGTCCACAGCACCGCCACCACCACCTCCATCACTACCGCCGCCACCGCCACAACATCCACATCCAGCTTCGGTATTGTACCCAAGTGCGGCATACAGTGACCATGGTTTCTTGCAGATGACGCTGGGCTACTTGTCACCCTCGTCGGGTGCCTACAAATCAGTGGACCCTTATTTTCTATCGCAGGGTAAGTTTGCATGCAAACACATATGCCGATAATATAATTAACACCGCATGTAAATAAATATTAGGTGTCATTTAGAAAAATCTCTACACAAATTAGAGACACCAAACTTTTTCGGGTATTTCACCAAACGAAATTCAATTAGGCAACTTAAATACAAAAAACTAATAAAGATGTGCTATATTTATCGCTATTTAGTAAAATACATAAGTTGTTGTTGCAATTTATATTCCTTAATTTTTCCAGCAAGCCTCTTCGGTGGTGGACACCTCTTTGGCGGCGCCGGTTGTGTACCCGAGCTGGCTTTAGGCTTAGGTATGGGTGTGAATGCGTTACGTCACTGCCGTCGCCGTAAAGCGCGTACGGTCTTCAGCGATCCACAGTTATCGGGATTGGAGAAACGTTTCGAAGCTCAACGGTATCTCTCGACTCCGGAACGTGTGGAGTTGGCAACCGCTTTAGGTCTGAGTGAGACACAGGTGAAGACATGGTTTCAGAATCGTCGTATGAAGCATAAGAAACAGCTGAGACGACGGGACAATACGAATGGTGAGTACTAATATTGGTTTATATGATTTTAATGATCTTTTTGAAGATTTTTGATGGAAGTAGATATGATCTAGTATTTGTATTTGGAATGGCATTGAATACACAAGGAGTTCCAGTGGTTGAGTTAGTCTGCCAGAAGCTTAAAATGGTAGAACATGTTTCAATAATGTATAAAGTTAAGCCAAAATTGTCAAAATGAAAACTGAATACATTTTTTGGGGACTATAATTTAAAATTTCCTTTCTAAGGGTACTTTTAAAGACCTAAGAAGACTAGATCTTTATAGAACTTGTACAAAGTTCTTATGGTGCTTGGACTGAATTTTAATCTTTTGCCTTAAGGAATGCGTTGAACTATTAAAAGGGGATATGCCAGGTTTAAAATGGATAAACTGTATTTTGCTTTTTCGCAAGTGGTTAAGGTTTTCTAGCGATGGTTTCCGATTACAATGAACAATACGCTTTTTGCAGTTTCCGCTTCTGATAGGTACATGGGAATGATTGAACGAAGCTCACATTTGATTCATCAGTTTCAGTAGTTCCTCAAGTTCTTCGAAAAGGGAAGTTTCACCACTGATTTCTTAGTTTCCACTTCTGGTTGTGAGTAGCTAATCTTCAGTAGTTCCTTCTTCCGAGTGTTTTTTCATTAGATTAATCGAAGATGTTCCTTTGCCACTAAAAGCAGAATTTATTCGATTATGTACCGGCTGAGGTCATTTAAACTTCCCAGTATATTCATAGAGCGTTAATTCGCTAAAATACTTCGAATTCAAGGTGAAGCTGATGGGTGCGTTCGAGCTACGTAATAATTACAATTCGTACAGCAACTGTCATGCATATTTGCAAATACTCTGCTGATGTGCAAACAAAAATTTAGTGTGAACGTGATACTGTTGCAAGTGTTGCTAAAAATTCACGCAGAACGTGATACTTTGACAAATTTGCAACACCGCTGTCGTGATTACCATCTCGAACGCACCCCATATAACTGCGAGAGTTTTTTTCACAAACTTATTATGACCCGAATTTTTCACCAAAGGGATTCGCCACATCGGGCCGACTGCGACCTTCAATTCAATTGTTGACAGTACAGGGGCGAATTCAGAGTTGGGTCGTAGAAGACCAGCTCATAGTATATTATTCACTGCCACTTCCACCAAATACATATCAAAACTTTCCTAACCGTCAATCTTGACTTGTCCATTGTAATGGCTCACTTTGACTCGACCATGGCCCTTTTCGCTTGACGTTTCGTAAGTGGCCCACTTTTCATCAACCATCCGCTTCTAACATGGCTCGATTTTGTTGCGATTCAGCAGCGCTTCATAGATGGAAATTCTATCAATGAATTTTTTTTGTGCTAACTCATGTGGCACCAGTAAATCGAGCTTCTTTTTGTATTGTAAGTTGTTTTAGTTCGAAATGTTATATATCTAACGTCATTTAGCGTAATCCGATCGCATTCATACAACGCAAGATACCGATTACTTAAGGCATCTATTGAAAAAGTAAATGATTTTTTAACTTCCCGCTAAGAAAATTGAAAATTTTCTAAAAATCGGGAAGATATTGGTTTCACCCCATTTTGCAAAAATCGAGTTCTCAACAGATCTCGACGTTTTGAGGGTCGAGGAAGCTTCCCCGAACATTTCTACGATGATGTCCGTATGTCTGTATGTATGTGTGGATGTATGTGTGTGTGTGTGGATGTATGTGACCCTCTTATAACTTTTAAACGGCTCAACCGATTTGAATAAACTAAACGGCATTCCAAAGGGTTTCATTGCACTTGAATTTCGTGTGAGTTTGGACCCAATCGGACCAGTAGATTTTGAGAAATCTCAAAAATAAATATTTTTCTTCCGAACGACTTGACCGATCGACACCAAAAACTAATCAGTTCTAAACCTTGAAAAAACACATCGTTTGCCGCAAACCGGGTCAAAATCGGTTGATTAATTGCGAGATATTGAAAACGAAAAATTTCGAAGAGCTCAAAAGCAGTGAAAAAAGCGAAATTTGAACGTTAGCGTATGAAATTAGAGGGAAGTTGCAGGGATGGCCCTTGAGGCCAACCGTTTTCCACATTTTTTTCCTAGACCTAATTTTAACAACGATTATGAAACGAATGGGCCCATAAATAGGGGTCTTATAATTATTTGACTCTGGCGTATTTTTTAAAAAGCGATACTTCTTCTCTTTCCCAAATATACTATGATTTTGAGACGTACCTGTCTATAAATACATGGTTCAGTACTGATTTGACTCCATCTCCTTTCTTAAAAGTCCTGAAAGCTTCTAAAAATTTAAAAAAATTTCATAATTTAATTAAAAGTGGTAGAACGGTGTGGCAGCTCGTACGTAGTGGGCAAAGAAACATTAAGTCACTTAATTCGACAATATGAAAAGACAACAAAAAATTTACCGCAAAAGCATAAGAAAATTGTCTTGGTACTTTAAAAACTTTACAAAACTTTTCTTGTCCATCAATGCTGCACTGCTGGAGACAATTAAATTGACAATATTTCATATAATTACATTTACGAAAACTGCATAGAACTACTACGAAAAACTTTCTGTACAACTACAACAATAATGCAAAAATTGTTACTTTATCTTTTGTTTGGAATTCCATTTGCAGAACCCGTTGACTTTTCTCGTTCGGAAGGCAGCGGCAGCAGCAGCAGTCACAGTGCAAAGAGCAGTAATAATGCGACGCTAACGAATGCCAGTAGCCACACCACCAACAATAACAATCACATGCAACAGAGTGGCAGCTCAAATAGTAGCAATAATGGTGCTGACAATATTAATGGCGTTGAAAAGGCATTTGCTGCGCAGGCTTATGCCCGCGAACAGCAACAGCAACAACAACGCGCAGCGCATCCACAACAAAGCATACTCCCACACGCGCAGACACTTCCAACACACTTGCAATTACGTGCTAACAGCAATACTTGTAATAATGGCAGCGACTCGCTGGATGATGGCACGCACTCCCAACTGCTGCATGGCGGCCACAATGTTGCGTCGCATCAGCAACATTTACAAATGTTGCGCAACATTTCGGGTGGTCAATTGGAGAATGCCATGGGCTTTCTGCAGCATGATTACTCCACGGACGATTATTCGGATGTGGATGATGACGAGGAGGAAGATGATGACGGGAGCGACGTGGATATTGTGGGCGATGCGAAACTCTATCACTTGACATAGTGCCAGTAAAATAGTAACGGATGTGAGAGGGGGAATGTAATTGAAATTAGAAAAGAACGCGAGTTTAAACTTCCAGTGCTGGATTTTAAATAGGAAAGTATAATATTTTTTCCAAATTCCTGTAAATAATTGATGTACGATAGAACACTATAAGTTTTAGAATAAAAATAGCAATATGAAATTAAAATTCGAACTCGCTGGTGCAGACATCGCTAATACATTTTTTATCGATCTTGCCTTAGAGGAAGTGGCGGAGCCATAAGCAAAATTCTCGATTCATCTGCTTTTCCACCAGGCAGTGCCTAAACACTGGGTATCTAAATGTGGTAAACAAATGGGCATATAGAAATGTAAGGCATCGGTAGCCTTATACTGTTGTAGAAAAGCAATTGTGAAGAGGTGGGTCCTCTCACGAAAAGCGGTGTTGTGGATCTATGGGCAGTAGTTAAGGCAATCACGTTAAATGGAGTCATTGTTTGATTGAGGGCGCTCGGAAAACCCACACTAGCTAAGCAGCTGGAGCGTGCTCAACGATTGGCCCTCATGAGCATCTGTGGTGCATTAAGGACAGCAGCAACAATGGCAGTGAATGCCATTCTACACGTTGGACAGACTAAAATTCTCCACTACTTCGATTGCATTCCTGACAATCTAGATCACTGCATCGCGATACCTACTCCTGGCGGTTCCTTCCGAGCTCGAAACCATGCGATCAATGTAGCAGTAGATGTATAGCTCCGAAGTGCAGCTTTCTTCAGAGAGATGTGCATTTACTCCGATAGCCAAGCGGCTATACTGACTTTGAGCTCGCTCAGTGTGCGCTGAAAATATGTCAAGGAGTGCATTACCTCATTAGCAATAGTTTCAAGCTTCGAACATATTAGACTTGTATGGATGCCCGATCACAGCGGGATCGCAGGAAACTGCAAAGCCGGTGAGCTTGCTAGAGGGAGTACCCTTACCCCAATTCTGGCCTTAAGTGTAGCGTAAGAGGTCCTCGAAACTATTTACTAGCAAAGTCAATCTCGTCGCAATTGTTGGTGTTCGGACAGAACACTGGCCAATAGATTAACTAATATTATATTATGTTCGGACAGAACACTGTCCAATAGATTAACTAAATATTTTGCTGGACATTGTTTTCTACAGATATATGGAGGAAGTTTAGGTGAAATCATCTTGTCATTTTCTCCTCTATTTCCCGGTGTTACCAGACTGAGCTTGAAATATTTCGGCAGACACACCTTCGGGGGACGTATGTAGCAAAAAGACTGGGATTGCTATTAACAGCCCTTATAAATTTGTGGTAAGTTCGAAACACTTCGTCAATCTATGAGGATTTGGTGGTCCACTATTAGGAGTTCATAGGTAATACAATGGACGAACATCTGTCAAAGTGAAATCTATCGCTTAGAATAAACTCTACGACCTAAGCTAACCTATACAATGGCACGATATTTTCGTTAAGAAACATCATGAGCCCAACGCAACTTTCCAAATGCGATTACCTCCAAAAATATATAAGTCATCCGAATGTCGGATGAAGTGAAAACCAGGAAGCTGAAATCTTAGCAGAACAGCCAACTGAATTCAAAAAAAATGTTTAGTCTTACCGCATGCGCAAATTGTACAATAATTAGAACTGATATCGCTAGTGAGAGAGATTTCTCTTACTCGGTATAAAGATTTCTCTAAACTCAGGGAACTCAGCATATGAAGGCAACGAAAAGATGATGATGAACAAACCAAAAATCTTCTACTTAAGCTTCACCTTCAGAAAATAAGAGTGGATTCGGCGGAATGCAGAGCATGCACGCAGGATGATGATATACTGGAACATAATATTTGCCAGCCTTCAGTCAGATGTGACGGGGTATATTCTATGTCTCCCAAAGCTTCAACTTGAGACATTGGGCAGCTGGATTCGAAAAAAATTAGATTTTTACCAAATCAGCTGAGTTGCTGGGTAACGTTTAATTCGGTTACTAACCTAGGCCTAAAGATGGCCTAAGTGCAGTCGCCTGCGGTCTGGCGCTCCTGCGTCTGCCTTTTCAAGCAACCAACCAAATCGCAGTACCTATCCATAACAGCAGCTTTCTCCGCCTTTGTTCAGCCAAAAATCTTTTCGTTTTAGTCTTTCGTTAATTTTTAAAGGATTGCCACTTCCTTACAACGTTTAGGTGAGTAAGAGACCATTTGGCCCGGATCTACTGCTGTTGACCATTTGTGAGAGCAAGTCTCCAATTTCAAAGTCAGCTGTTCACAGACGGCCCAAACTATTTTAGAACTACTCTTATTTGTGGCGTACCAAAACGGCTTTTATACGGTAAGCTGTAGTACGGAGGATATTTGTAGAAAGACAAGGGTTTAGAAATCAATACGTACATGGAATAGAAATTTCAATTTATTGATTCTTAAATCATTTTTATCGTATTTAGTGGAATAAATCACAAACCGTTTGTGTCGATGGTTATATGGATTAAATGAAATGCAAAAAATATTTAGCCTCCAACACCTGATCTTAATATTATATATACACAATTCTAAATATTTATAAATAATATCTTAATTTCATAAAAGTGGCATATTATTATAAATTTAGATTATATATGAGCTTGGCAATAAGTTGAGAGAGCAAATCAAGAGGCGCTTTATCGGTCTGTCTACTGTCAATAACGTTACCACTTTCTGCGGAAGAATATATCAACAACGCAAGGGTCTTCACTCGTTGAAGATTACCTGTAGTAGGTACTGCTTCGGAACTAGTTTCTGTACTTAAATCACGTTCCGTTGTACTTATAACCGGTTCTTCAGGTTGTGGAGTGCTTGATGGCTGTGGCTCCTCAGTTGGTATAGAGCTAACAATAGTTTCTTCAGTAGTTACCACTGGTACATTAGTGCTTACTTCAAGTTCAGGCTGAGTGGAGCTTTCACTTGGTTGCTCAGTTGCTACAGTAGTTCCTTCAGGTTCAGGCTGAGTGGAGCTTTGACTTGGTTGCTCAGGTTCCGACTGAGTGGAGCTTTCACTTGGTTGCTCTGTTGCTACAATAGTAACATCGGGCTCATCGTTTTGTGGAGGAAGTGTTGTGCCTACTTTTAGACTTTCGGAACTAGGAGTACTCGCATTTAATTCTTCTGAATCAGGTATGTCAGTTTGGCCTTCTGATTTAGTTGTTTCTACTACAGACTGAGTCGTGCCCTCTGTAGTAGTGCCTACTGCAGTCAGAGTAGTTGATTCTTCCGAAGCTTCTGTTGCTTCCGCTGATACTTCAGTGCTTATTTCGGGCTCTTCTGGTGTTTCTATTGCAGTCAGAGTAGTTGAAGAAAACTACCACACCAGAAGAGCCCGAAGTAAGCTCTGAAGTAACAGCGGAAGCAACAGAAGCTCCGGTAGAATCAACTACTCTAACCGCAGTAGAAACTACTACACCAGAAGAGCCCGAAGTAAGCACTGAAGTATCAGTGGAAGCAACAGAAGCTCCGGTAGAATCAACTACTCTGACTGCAGTGGAAACTACCACACCAGAAGAGCCCGAAGTAAGCACTGAAGTATCAGTGGAAGCTACAGAAGCTCCGGGAGATTCAACTACTCTAACGGCAGTAGAAACTACCACACCAGAAGAGCCCGAAGTAAGCACTGAAGTATCAGTGGAAGCAACAGAAGCTCCGGTAGAATCAACTACTCTGACTGCAGTGGAAACTACCACACCAGAAGAGCCCGAAGTAAGCACTGAAGTAACAGCGGAAGCAACAGAAGCTCGGTAGAATCAACTACTTTGACTGCAGTAGAAACTACCACACCAGAAAGCCCGAAGTAAGCACTGAAGTATCAGTGGAAGCAACAAAGCTCCAGTAGAATCAACTACTCTAACTGCAGTTGAAACTACCACACCAGAAGAGCCCGAAGTAAGCACTGAAGTATATGTGGAAGCAACAGAAGCTCCGGTAGAATCAACTACTCTGACTGCAGTGGAAACTACCACACCAGAAGAGCCCGAAGTAAGCACTGAAGTATCAGTGGAAGCAACAGAAGCTCCAGTAGAATCAACTACTCTAACGGCAGTAGAAACTACCACACCAGAAGAGCCCGAAGTAAGCACTGAAGTATCAGTGGAAGCAACAGAAGCTCCAGTAGAATCAACTACTCTGACTGCAGTAGAAACTACCACACCAGAAGAGCCCGAAGTAAGCACTGAAGTATCAGTGGAAGCAACAGAAGCTCCGGTAGAATCAACTACTCTGACTGCAGTAGAAACTACCACACGAGAAGAGCCCGAAGTAAGCACTGAAGTTTCAGCGGAAGCAACAGAAGCTCCGGTAGAATCAACTACTCTGACTGCAGTAGAAACTACCACACCAGAAGAGGCCGAGTTAAGCACTGAAGTATTAGTGGAAGCAACAGAAGCTCCGGTAGAATCAACTACTCTGACTGCAGTAGAAACTACCACACCAGAAGAGATCGGTTTAAGCACTGAAGTATCAGTGGAAGCAACAGAAGCTCCGGTAGAATCAACTACTCTGACTGCAGTGGAAACTACCACACCAGAAGAGCCCGAAGTAAGCACTGAAGTATCAGTGGAAGCAACAGAAGCTCCGGTAGAATCAACTACTCTGACTGCAGTAGAAACTACCACACCAGAAGAGGTCGAATTAAGCACTGAAGTTTCAGCGGAAGCAACAGAAGCTCCGCCAGAATCAACTACTCTGACTGCAGTAGAAACTACCACACGAGAAGAGCCCGAAGTAAGCACAGAAGTAACAGCGGAAGCAACAGAAGCTCCGGTAGAATCAACTACTCTAACTGCAGTAGAAACTACTACACCAGAAGAGCCCGAAGTAAGCACTGAAGTATCAGTGGAAGCAACAGAAGCTCCGGTTGAATCAACTACTTTGACTGCAGTAGAAACTACCACACCAGAAGAGCCCGAAGTAAGCACTGAAGTATCAGTGGAAGCAACAGAAGCTCCGGTAGAATCAACTACTTTGACTGCAGTAGAAACTACCTCACCAGAAGAGCCCGAAATAAGCACTGAAGTATCAGTGGAAGCAACAGAAGCTCCGGTAGAATCAATTACTCTGACTGCAGTAGAAACTACCACACCAGAAGAGCCCGAAGTAAGCACAGAAGTAACAGCGGAAGCAACAGAAGCTCCGGTAGAATCAACTACTCTAACTGCAGTAGAAACTACTACACCAGAAGAGCCCGAATTAAGCACTGAAGTATTAGTGGAAGCAACTGAAGCTCCGGTAGAATCAACTACTCTGACTGCAGTAGAAACTACCACACCAGAAGAGCCCGATGTAAGCACTGAAGTATCAGTGGAAGCTACAGAAGCTCCGGTAGATTCTACTACTCTGACTGCAGTAGAAACTACCACACCAGAAGAGCCCGATGTAAGCACTGAAGTATCAGCGGAAGCAACAGATGCTCCGGTAGATTCTACTACTCTGACTGCAGTAGAAACTACCACACCAGAAGAGCCCGAATTAAGCACTGAAGTATTAGTGGAAGCAACAGAAGCTCCGGTAGATTCTACTACTCTGACTGCAGTGGAAACTACCACACCAGAAGAGGCCGAATTAAGCACTGAAGTATCAGCGGAAGCAACAGAAGCTCCGGTAGATTCTACTATTCTGACTGCAGTAGAAACTACCACACCAGAAGAGCCCGATGTAAGCACTGAAGTATCAGCGGAAGCAACAGATGCTCCGGTAGAATCTACTACTCTGACTGCAGTAGAAACTACCACACCAGGAGAGCCCGATGTAAGCACTGAAGTATCAGTGGAAGCTACAGAAGCTCCGGTAGATTCTACTACTCTGACTGCAGTAGAAACTACCACACCAGAAGAGCCCGATGTAAGCACTGAAGTATCAGTGGAAGCAACAGAAGCTCCGGTAGATTCTACTACTCTGACTGCAGTAGAAACTACCACACCAGGAGAGCCCGATGTAAGCACTGAAGTATCAGTGGAAGCTACAGAAGCTCGCGGTAGATTCTACTACTCTGACTGCAGTAGAAACACCACACCAGAAGAGCCCGATGTAAGCACTGAATATCAGCGGAAGCAACAGATGCTCCGGTAGAATCTACTACTCTGACTGCAGTAGAAACTACCACCAGGAAGCCCGATGTAAGCACTGAAGTATCAGTGGAAGCTACAGAAGCTCCGGTAGATTCTACTACTCTGACTGCAGTAGAAACTACCACACCAGAAGAGCCCGAATTAAGCACTGAAGTATCAGTGGAAGCAACAGAAGCTCCGGTAGAATCAACTACTCTGACTGCAGTGGAAACTACCACACCAGAAGAGCCCGAAGTAAGCACTGAAGTATCAGTGGAAGCAACAGAAGCTCCGGTTGAATCAACTACTTTGACTGCAGTAGAAACTACCACACCAGAAGAGCCCGAATTAAGTACTGAAGTATCAGTGGAAGCAACAGAAGCTCCAGTAGAATCAACTACTCTGACTGCAGTAGAAACTACCACACCAGAAGAGCCCGAAGTAAGCACTGAAGTATTAGTGGAAGCAACAGAAGCTCCGTTAGAATCAACTACTCTGACTGCAGTGGAAACTACCACACCAGAAGAGCCCGAAGTAAGCACTGAAGTATCAGTGGAAGCAACAGAAGCTCCGGTTGAATCAACTACTTTGACTGCAGTAGAAACTACCACACCAGAAGAGCCCGAAGTAAGCACTGAAGTATCAGTGGAAGCAACAGAAGCTCCAGTAGAATCAACTACTCTGACTGCAGTAGAAGCTACCACACCAGAAGAGCCCGAAGTAAGCACTGAAGTATTAGTGGAAGCAACAGAAGCTCCGGTAGAATCAACTTTTCTGACTGCAGTGGAAACTACCACCCCAAAAGAGCCCGAAGTAAGCACTGAAGTATCAGTGGAAGCAACAGAAGCTCCGGTTGAATTAACTACTTTGACTGCAGTAGAAACTACCACACCAGAAGAGCCCGAAATAAGCACTGAAGTATCAGTGGAAGCAACAGAAGCTCCGGTAGAATCAACTACTCTAACTGCAGTAGAAACTACTACACCAGAAAAGCCCGAATTAAGCACTGAAGTATTAGTGGAAGCAACTGAAGCTCCGGTAGAATCAACTACTTGACTGCAGAGAACTACCACACCAGAAGAGCCCGATGTAAGCACTGAAGTATCAGTGGAAGCTACAGAAGCTCCGGTAGAATCAACTACTCTGACTGCAGTGGAAGCTACCACACCAGAAGAGCCCGAAGTAAGCACTGAAGTATCAGTGGAAGCAACAGAAGCTCCAGTAGAATCAACTACTCTGATTGCAGTAGAAGCTACCACACCAGAAGAGCCCGAAGTAAGCACTGAAGTATCAGTGGAAGCAACAGAAGCTCCTGTAGAATCAACGACTTGACTGCAGTAGAAACTACCACACCAGACGAGCCCGAAGTAAGCACTGAAGTATCAGTGGAAGCAACAGAAGCTCCGGTAGAATCAACTACTCTGACTGCAGTAGAAACTACCACACCAGAAGAGCCCGATGTAAGCACTGAAGTATCAGTGGAAGCAACAGAAGCTCCTGTAGAATCAACTACTCTGACTGCAGTAGAAACTACCACACCAGAAGAGCCCGATGTAAGCACTGAAGTATCAGTGGAAGCTACAGAAGCTCCGGTAGAATCAACTACTCTGACTGCAGTGGAAGCTACCACACCAGAAGAGCCCGAAGTAAGCACTGAAGTATCAGTGGAAGCAACAGAAGCTCCGGTTGAATTAACTACTTTGACTGCAGTAGAAACTACCACACCAGAAGAGCCCGAAATAAGCACTGAAGTATTAGTGGAAGCAACAGAAGCTCCGGTAGAATCAACTTCTCTGACTGCAGTGGAAACTACCACACCAGAAGAGCCCGATGTAAGCACTGAAGTATCAGTGGAAGCTACAGAAGCTCCGGTAGAATCAACTACTCTGACTGCAGTGGAAGCTACCACACCAGAAGAGCCCGAAGTAAGCACTGAAGTATCAGTGGAAGCAACAGAAGCTCCGGTTGAATTAACTACTTTGACTGCAGTAGAAGCTACCACACCAGAAGAGCCCGAAGTAAGCACTGAAGTATCAGTGGAAGCAACAGAAGCTCCGGTAGAATCAACTACTCTGACTGCAGTAGAAACTACCACACCAGACGAGCCCGAAGTAAGCACTGAAGTATTAGTGGAAGCAACAGAAGCTCCAGTAGAATCAACTACTCTGACTGCAGTAGAAACTACCACACCAGAAGAGGCCGAATTAAGCACTGAAGTATCAGCGGAAGCAACAGAAGC